GTTAACACTTTTTATACTTGAAGCAGTTTTCCTCCTTTTCATCCGAAAATGATAATCCAATATATCTCAAATTCATGTGTGAAGAAAAGAAAGTAGCCAGGTTAACTCAATACAGCAGGGCAGCTAGTTTGCAAAAGCTCTGAATCCTTCTGTTACTATAAAATGCAACAAAACAAACAACTTTTATTTTTCAGATAAAGCAAAAAATGTGTATAAAAGATTGGGTAGAAATAATGGAGTCCAGATAGTATATTCAATGGTTGTAACTCCAATTAATGTTAATTAATGGACACTTGCTTATTTAGAAGATAATAGTACATTATGCACAACATATGGCCTCTAACCTCCCGGGATTCCTATAACAAAGAGATTACAGCCAAACAGAGAGTTACTTCGGATAGGTTTTTGGAGGGCTTTAAGTAAATATAGACTTTCCTCACTCCTTTGCCCTGGAATATATATTTCTCATTTAGTTCAATATATTTTAAAAAATGAAAAAAAAAACAGGCAAGGTTTCTAAATAACATCCAAATCATCACTTTGAAGATTTAATTATGACAATATGTTTAGATTACAGTGAAGTTTTTGACTCTGTAAATCATGAAAAGCACTGAATTGTTTTCATAGAAAGGTGTGCGCCACAACATGATTATTTTGATATACAGAGTACATTCTGAATAAAAGTCAACAGTTAGGACAGAACATGGAGAAACAAAATGGTTTCAATAGGTAATCGTGTCAGATTACAGTGGGAGGATTTATTAGATTCAGCTGAAGGAGTGAAAATTGGTATCAGAAGCATCATTAATTTAAGATGTGGAGCTAATTTCTTGCCAAAAACATCAATGATCTGAAGCATCAACTGCTGAAGATTATAAAAAGGAACTGCAAAAGGAGAATTACAGCTGAATATTCTCAAGACAAAAATAATGACTACAGAAGAATTACATAACTTTAACACTGATGATGAAAAAAACTTAAACTGAACTAAAATTTTTAACAACCATCAATCCAAAGTCAGACTGTAATAAATAAATCAGAAGACTGACATGAAAAAAGCTGACGGAAAAAAATCAGCTAATTTGAAATATGATGTTAGAGGATAACTTTATAGATACTGACAACTGTCAAAAAGACTAATGAGTGAATGCTAGATCAAATCAAGCCTGAATTCTCAAAAGAAACTAAAATGACTACACTTAGGCCACAGTACTTCGACATCTCATGAGAGAACAGGCTCAAAGGAAAAGACAATAATAGTAGAAAAGGTGGAAATTAGTAGGAAAGAGATAAAACCCTAGCATGACATGGATTGATTCAATAAAGGATGCTTTAGTTTGCAAGACCTGAGCAGGGGAATACTTAATAAGACCATCTGAAAGTCATTAATTCAGAGTTAAAATAAGTTGGAGGTGATTTGGCAGCATATCCGAGGGGATGCTGATAAGTATTGAGCATTCCCCAGAAAAAATTGAGCTAGGAACCTATAAATTGCAGGGTATATTGGCCAATTTGTCTATATTCAATGGTGCAAAAATCAACTATCTATGATTTTGACTTAATTTTCATTTTATAGTCCAAAGTGAACATGGTGGAACCTCCAGAAAAGTTCTCCAAGGGAAAGATGCAAAGCAAATCAATGATGAAATGTCACAAACTATGGGTGACAGTGGCCCTTCATATGCAACAGTTAAACATTGGGTTGTAAAGTTTAAACTGGCCATTTCGGTGTTGAAAGTGAGAAACCCAGTGGAAGGCCTGTTTCTGTCTCTGCCTGCAAATGTGAAAGCCACCCATGACATGATCATGAAGGACTCCCGAGTATCAGCCAAAAGTATTGCTATATATCTGAGAATATCATGCAAGAGAGTTGGTGCCATTATCCACAATGTCTTGGAAATGAGAAAGCTGGCAGCAAAGTGGATCCCCAAACTTTTGACAACCAAACAAAATAGGAAATGTGTGGAGTCATTGGCGGCTGTTTTGGAACACTTTGCAAGAAATGAGTCAGATTTCCTGGGCAAACTGGTAACTGGTGATGAGACATGGATCTACTGTTATGATCCTAAGACAAAGGAACAGTCTAAGGAATGGAGGCACAGTGGTTCCCCCAGGCCAAAGAAGTTCAGAGTGCAAAGGTCAGTGCAAAAGCAAATGGCAACAGGTTTTGGGGATAAGAAGGGAATACTGCTGCTGGACTACTTCCAACAGGGTTCAACCATCGATGCAAAATATTACCGTGCTTCATTGACAAAGCTGAGGCAAAACCTCAAGGAAAAGCATTGAGGAAAGCTCTCCAAAGGTGTCATCCTGCTGCATGACAACGCCTCATCAAACACTGCAGGTGAAACAATGGCAAAACTGATGTACTTAGGCTTTCAAGTGATGCCCCATCCACCCTATTCTCCCGACCTGGCTCCTTTTGAGCCTGTCTTCTCATGAGATGTCGAAGTACTGTGGCCTAAGTGTAGTCATTTTAGTTTCTTTTGAGAATTCAGGCTTGATTTGATCTAGCATTCACTCATTAGTCTTTTTGACAGTTGTCAGTATTCTATAAAGTTATCCTCTAACATCATATTTCAAATTAGCTGATTTTTTCCCGTCAGCTTTTTTCATGTCAGTCTTCTGATTTATTTATTACAGTCTGACTTTGGATTGATGGTTGTTAAAATTTTTAGTTCAGTTTAAGTTTTTTTCATCATCAGTGTTAAAGTTATGTAATTCTTCTGTAGTCATTATTTTTGTCTTGATAATATTCAGCTGTTCCCCAAACTCAAAAAACACTTAAACGGACAATGATTTGGGAGTGTTCTGGAGGCAACTAATGCTGCAAATGAGTGGTTACACCAGCACTCAGAAGAATTTTATTTGCAGGGACTTAAGCTGCAGGACAGATGTCACAAGTGCATTGACTTCCTCGGGGAATATGTAGAATAATGTGGCAGTTACAGCTTCCTAGCTCAATTTTTTTCTGGGAAAGGCTCAATACTCATCAGCACCCCCTCGTACCTGTAACAACAAATGTTTATGTGTACATCTTCCAACATTCTACAAAGGTCTAACTTTGTTCTGAACTTTTTGAAAGTGCCCAAACTATACCAAAACTTCTCAAAATCATGGTTCACAGACCAGCACCAGCCAAAACACCATCAACTGCTAGTCACGCAGTACACAGCCAGGAAAAAAGGAAAAATTGTTTTGAGAAGCCTGCCACTGATATGTCATGGTATCACAACTCATACATTCCAGTTCTTTAAGTGACATCACATCATGCAGAGAACACTACTGTATCATGCATAATCTTGTTTCTTCAGGCAACATATTTTAGTCAGTTACAAGCAGTAAATTATTTCTAAACATTTGCTAAAACCCAATTCATATATTAAATTCATTAACTTCTACCACTGTTTCACAACGAACATACCCTGTTTCCCCCAAAATAAGAAAGAGTCTTATATTAATTTTTTCTCCAAAAGCACATTAGGGCTTATTTTCAGGGGATTTTTTTTCATGTACAACAATCTACATTTATTCAAATACAGTCATATCATCTTCTTCTGATTGCTGCACAATGGTGGAGGGCAGGGATTCACTTAACTAGTGCTTATTTTTGGGGTAGGGCTTATAGTACGAGCATTCTGAAAATCATACCAGGGCTTATTTTCAGGTTAGGTCACATTTATTTATTTATTTGTTTGATTTATTTATTTGATTTATACCCCGCCTATCTGGTCTACTCGACCACTATAGGCAGCTTTTATTTTATTTTAGGGGAAAGGGATAGTATTCTCTCTTATCAAAATAACCAGCTGGTGCTATCTTGATGTAGCAATATATATATGTAGCACACACAGTCTGAAATCAGTACTGGTCTGAAATCAGCTTTTAATAGTATGTTCCTTCCTAGCCCCTTATTTAATTCAAAACACCATTAAAAGCCACTGCCCTGCAAGAAAGCTATTAATATTATTCTCACACCATAATCTAAATTTGTCCTGATAACAGGAGCCATTGCAATTGTTGTCTTTAGTGCAATTACAATTTGTAAAATTCATTTCTATTTGCATGTCAAATAAAAACATGCCGGAAATCCAGGAACAGCAGCTTGACCTGTGGCCATGCCAAAATTATCTGCCATTTCCTCAAAGAAATAATATTTGGAAACAAAAATCACTACACAGAAAGCTGGAAACCTTCCCTCGGAAGGAATTTTATTTCAGAAGCCACAGAACTTCAAGGACACAAACCACAAAAACAGCTCTCTCATCTTCGGCTGTTCCATTGCTCTTTTCCTTTCAGAGGCTTGAAGGAAGCTCCTAGGAGGATAAATTAACTTAAAAGCAGTCGTTTGAAAAAAAAATCGCATCTCAAAACAGCTGCTTTCCCCTAGCGCAAATCCAGGCAGTTTTCCCACTGTACTGTACTTCCCAAGCAAACACCGAAGGACTGCCATCTCTCCGCGCAAAGGGAGGAGGTATAAGAAGAATCGTCGCCCGTCGCGTATATCCCTGGGATCTCTCCGTTCCAGCGGACCAGATTTTTGCAGGTGCTGCGTTTCAACAAACCTGTCGACATTACCAGGGGCAGAAATATCGCAGGCAATACCAACAGCATCCCTTTGTCCTTCCCACCGTCTCCCAATTCTCCTCAACACTCTCCGAGCCTTTGAACAGATACGACACAGATCGTCACTCGGTCTGAAAGTCCAAGGTTGGACCACCGTCCGTGAGCCCCCAACCTCGGTCAATGTTCAGCACTTTCCCATTTCTTTGGCCTCCGATATATCCCAAAAGAAACCTACCTGCCTTACCAGCTCCTTTTAAAAAAACAACCTCTGTAAGGTGAGCGGCCAGCCAAAGGTAAAAAAAAACAAAACCCAACACTACACCCGCACCCTACAAATTTGGAAAGGAAGAAAGGCAACCAGTTAAGACTTAGCCCTGGTGTAAGGTTGGTCCTGTCAACCCAAGTTGAGTCGAAAAACCTCCAGTAAAACCCACATAAAAGGACTCACGGCGCCTCACTCCTCCGCTTCTGAATGTCAACGTTGAGGAGAAGCCGTTTGGTCTCTATAGTTACTTCCCGCGAGATTTCCTCTTCCTCCTCTGAAGCACCCTTCTTCTTCTTCTGCGTCCTCCTCCTCCTCTCCCCCATTACCCCTGTCCACCACGACTCACCCCAAAGCATGTGACGCCAGCCCGACGTCAGAGGGCCGACCTGTCAAATATGTAACGCACACATTTTAAATTTTTTTTAAAATTACAATAAATGTAATTTCCCCTCTCTCCCATTACCTTTCAGTCCGTTGCTAGGTAACATAGCCTGCCAGCCCGAGAACCGTTCGGGTGGTCGTTTTTGGATGTTTTCTAATTTATTCTTTTAAACAGCCCAAAGCCTTTGCACACCGCTTTTCCCTCCTTATTTGCCGTTTTAAAAACGTGACGTGAAACTATTTAGCCACCTTTCCGCTAAATAACGGAAAACAAGATGGCGGCGCGCGAAAGGTTTTTTTTTTTCCCCACTAATTTTTTTCCTCCTTTCAAACCTGTGAGAAGCCAGCCCCTTTCTTCCCCCAGCATGCTTTGCGCGTTTCTAACGAATTTCGTTACGAGTTTGCCGTTTGGGCGCCATTTTCGAGTGTGGAAGCCGCCAAGGCTAGAAGGCAGGAAACGGAGCGTTCGGGAGCTCTGGCTGCTGCTACTTCGGAGACTCGTTCGGCCCGCTCTCTCGCTACCAGCTCTGCTGGTGGGTGAAAATGGAGTATTATGAAGCTGTCTGCTAAGCCGGTCCCCGGTTAAAACTGTCCCTGTTTTTTGCTTCGGGGGATATTGGAGAAGCTTCCTTCTTTGCGATTAGACCGGAGGGTGAAACTTTCCATACAGTAAACGGACTTACCCATTAGTGACTGCCTTGTATGTGGTGAGTGAGGAAAATTATTCGACTTGGGGTGGGGAGTGTTTCCTCATAAACTCAGTTCGTGTAGAAAAAAGGCGGCATTCTTAATTTCTTTTCTAACCGGCGGCCGCTTTTTCTTCTCCCCCGCTTTTCCCTCTCCCTGCCGCCATAGGGGGTGGGGTGAGAGAGATGGTATTTGCTGGCAATTTCCGTTGCCGTCGATAAAAACCGAGTCGGCTCTGACTTTGATTCTTGTGCAAACTTTTTTTTCGTCTGATTTGGAGTTGGCTGTCAGAAAATTCATTCTGGCGAATCATAATTATTTTATTTTATTTCAAAAAAGAAACATGCTTTTTTCCCCCCGGTGTTCTAAAAAGACTGTTCGCCGTTTGATCGGTGAAAGTATCTACATGTACAGCTTTAAAAAGAATTAACCTTTACTGGTCAGATCTAGTAGGTTAAAAACTATGTAAGGGCACGCCACATCAAAGTCTAGGGGAGGAGGTAGCTGGCTCCAGTACATGAAGAGCATGCCGAACCATTTCTACGTTCGCATCTCAGCGAAGTTTTGATTTCGTGGCCCCGACCTGATGAGTGATATTGAGCAGTAGATCTGTAAGTGCTTTTGGCAAACATCGTCAATTTGATCCCCTCGATTTGACGCAACCTGCCAAGGGGGGCGCATGGGAAGGGAGGTGATGGATTTATGAATGTTCAAAGCCTGATTCGCTTAGGAGGAAGTCTAATTTTACACAACTCTTGCGCAGTAACATTGACAATACCATATCGTTTTTAAGTCTATCTGCATTTAAAAACAAGCTACTTTTTAAATTAACTTTTAAAAGTTAGCATTGGTTTCTTTAATTAAATCCCTTTATACAGTGGGAGGCTGTGAATATTCATGAAATAGAAGTATTCTAATGCTTTTTCCAAGTGTATTATTAGCTTAAAGAAGGTGCTTTTAATGAGTCTCCTTCAAAATGTCCAAGACTTATAAGTGCATAACAGTTTGCATAGTGAATCAGACAGTTCTTAGTTCGCATTGGTCTTCAGGAAGTAACTAATTTGTTTAACAATAGTATTTTGAAAATTTTGAGAGGGAAATCGTTTCTTTGCGTTTTCTCTTTTTTGTAGTATTTCTAATATATTTTCTTGTGGAGTTTTGTGTGGAATTATTTTCTGATTATGCATTCATAAAAAATTGTGCTTTTTAAATTCTATCGTTACTGTCCTTGGAACAAAATATAAATACTGTAAGTGCTTTGGTGATAACTTTTTAAAACACTTCAGTAGCAGTGGGTGTTAAATATAAATTGATTATTTTAAGACATTTAAGTGAAACACAAGAAATCACACTCCTGTACTGCGAAGTCTTGATATACTTAGGCAATTGGGATTTCTTATCTCTGATTTTCTATTTAGTACTGTAATTAGTTTTAATAGATTGAAAGTAAATTGTGAACTACTATATACATGTCTATTCTAATAGATGTGAATTGGGGATGAGAGAAGAATGTATGCCTGCCAACATAAGTAGGTTTCTGGGTTTATAAAGTTTGCCCAGATTAATACAAAGTGCTAGACACACAATGTTAGTTTTTAAGTGTAGGTTGCTAGATTGTTCTTTGCATTAGAAATGAAGGCGCAGTTCCTCTGTAGTTCAGTTGTTTGAAATTTGAACAGCCAACAGAAATCATGCCGAGCAAAAGAACTAAGGTGTCTACAGCAGCCCAACACAAAGGTGATGAGCCCTTGGAGAAATCCTCTAATGATGGGGAACCTGAAAAAGAAGCCTCTGTATATACCACTGCAGAACCTCAGCAAGGTCAGTCGTAGACAACCTGATACTTTTTTGTGAAACGATTTCACTTTGAAGGTGTCTTACTTAAAGTGATGTCCAGCTTTGCCTAGTACTGATAGTTCCTACACTGATTCTTGAGGTTTCATGTAACAGTGGTAATTAAAAGCAATATCTGTCTTTCAAATTAAGGCTCTTTAGGTTGTAGTCTTTAGTTGGTAAAAGAGCAGCCGGTGATTGAAATGGATGTAGTCTAGCAAATGTCAAAGGAGCTGCTTGTGGCTTATGTGTTCAGCAGTTGTCACTTATATCTAAAATGTGTTTGGACTTACCACGTTGTACTGAGACAAGTTTGCTTTAAAAGAAAGTAATGGGCCAAATAATACATTTGTCATCAATTCACTGAAAAGTTGGTTAATGTCTGAAAAATCATAGTTAACAACTATTGAAAGAAAAGGTTGCCTCAAGGAGTTAAAAAAGAAAGTTCTACGGCTTGTTGAAATCTAAGTGGCTAGTTTTGTGTGAGACAAACTTCCTGTCTTTGAGGCATAGTGCTGCTGCTGTCATTACAGCTAACAGAGCATTGTGTAGAGATCCCCCGACCACCTCCTTCATAGTGTACGTAAGCTCTGAGAATGCCTGAAAATGCAACATTGAGATTTGTCTGTTTTCTTGAAATTGTGTGGAGGAAATCTGATAGTAATGTATTTTGTAGCAGTGTACTTGAGATTGGAAAAGGTTAGTCTAGGTTGAGTTTGGGAATACAACTGTATAAGTAATACAGTATGCCTATTAGTAAACGAAACAGGCATATTATGTGGTCTGATTTTTAGCAGTTCAGCATATGAGGATAAACATGTTGGTTCTTGGATACAATGTTTTAAGAGATGGGAATTATAGACTTCAACTGCTTTTCCTCTTCTGATTAGGTATTTGTAGTTATATGTAGCGAATAAGTACATTTGCTTTTTTGCTTGCTTTTGGCTGTCCCTAGAAGTCTCAGATGGAGTAGTTGACAGTCGAAGTTTAGAAGAGATTTTGAGTAGCATCTCTCCTCCCCCACCTCCAGCAATGACCAATGAAGCTGGAGCTCCGCGTCTCATGATAACCCACATTGTAAACCAGAACTTCAAATCTTATGCTGGGGAGCAAATTCTAGGACCGTTTCATAAGGTATCTTTTGCTATTTTAAGTCCCTTGCAAGCTGAAGTAAAACTCTCTTCTGGTTTTGCTGCATAGATTGAACTGTAAGTTATATATTGGCAAATAATTTAGGGCGGGGGCGCTGCTGAATTACTGTTGTCTCTAATTCTTTTCAAGACCTTGACTTTTGTGGAGCTTAAGCAGCTTGAAGTGGACAAAAATATTTATTCTTTATGAATGATGATTAGTAATTAAGCTGTACACTATAGACATTCAAGGTTTGAAATTTTTAAAACTTCACCTCATTGTGTTAATTATGAACAAACAAAATTTGGAACATTTTACTTTCTGAATGCAGTTCATCTGCAGAGTTTACATGGTAAAATTTTAGAAATTTAAGCTAAAAGGTGGTAGCTTTGAATAACTTGTAGTTTATATCCCTGGCTGTAAAAACTAAGCTTTCCAGTAGTTCATGGTTTCCTGTACTAGGTGTAACAGTATTTTAAACTGTCTAAAAAGCAGTAAAGGATAATATCTAGTAGCTGTAAAACTGATTTCTTTTTTCTTTTTGTAGCGTTTTTCATGTATTATTGGACCAAATGGGAGTGGAAAGTCTAATGTGATTGATTCCATGCTTTTTGTTTTTGGTTATCGAGCACAAAAAATAAGATCCAAAAAGCTTTCGGTATTGATTCATAATTCTGATGAGCATAGTGATATCCAAAGCTGTACTGTAGAAGTTCATTTCCAAAAGATCATTGACAAGGTATGTTTTCATTAGTTACATCTGGGGAAGGTCTACCACCTATTGCCTTATCAGTTTGATGATTGACATCCAGCAAAACTAATGCACTATGGGGAAAATGCTGTGTCTTTTTAGTTCTTTATTCAAAATAGAGAGAACTTGAAGGACTTTGATAATGCATAAATATCTGTTTTGTATATATGTATTAATTTGCATTGTAGTCTTGCATATATTTGGACATATGGCTTACACCATTTTGAGGACTTCTGTTTCAGTATGAAATGTGTTTGAGCTAGAAATTTATCTTATAAGAATTGTTGTAGAAATGAACTTTTTGTAATTCTGTTGGCTGTTAAATGTGGGATGTGTGTAGTATACATGCAAATTATCAAGACAACCCAAAATATTTCTTAAAATTATACTTCCAATATCAACATACATTCACTTAAAATAAAAAAGTTTGGTAGGGTCTTTTATAAATTATACAACTGCAAGACAGTCCATATCTGTTTAAAATTTTGATTCGGAAATCTATTGTATTATTTTTGCTCAAGGTTGAGTATTCAACTGAATTCAGAATTTTGTGTGTGTGTTGGTAAAGTACTGTATAATGGAATAAAAAAACACCCACTGCTATGCTGACTTTAAACACATGATCTCAATAAAACATTGCTGGATTAACAGTTGAAAAAGGAGATCAGCCAGGGGGTGGGGCAGGGAGTTGAGGACACAGTTATGGATGATGTGATACCTTGTTTGTTTATTTTTTAAAAAATTATCAGAACTGATGTTTCTTTGGGAGGTTTGTAAAAGTTATATTTGAAATATGTTTCCAAATTAATACTGTATATCTTAAATGGTAATGGGATTACATTAAATTATCTATCCAACGTATCTAATCGTACATTCCAGTTTTTACTCTCATTTTACAATGTCTTTTCTATGGAATTTATTTTAGGACAAATTAAGCTTTTGAAGAATTAGATTGAAATAACAATTGGTTTTTAATAATATCAACAAAGATGAAGATGTCAGGAAAAATTAGTTTTGCTTTTAGGGGGTATATAGTCCACAAAACATTCGTAGCTTTTCACAAAGCTGCTTGAGCACTGATTTGCACGTAGTATGTATAATTTGGGTCTATTTGGATAAGTAGCTCAGTACTGTTGCTTCTTCAAAATAGTTTTTTAAAATGTTCAAGCATTTGAAGTGCTTTTATGCTTGAAAATTAGTAGTGTCCTTTCTGAACTGACAAGGAGACTGCTTTATAAATTGACTGAAAGATAGTATGTAAGAGGCATCTTTTGTGCAAATAATGGTAGGTACAGATAAGGGCTGCAGTCCTGTATAGAGTATATTTTTGAGTGCCCCGTTGGACTCAGTGGGGATTGCATCTTTACCTCTAAGCATTTGTTGTATTGCATATATGACTTAATTTTTTTCTTTTTTCTTTTACTGTTTTTTTGCCACCAAGGTTTATATAACTTGGAGAAGTTTGTATTATCTGACAGTATAAATGCTGGCATATGACTAATAATGTACTTACATTACAATATTATCAGCTTCAATGTAGTGTGATCTAGGGTTTGTGAAGTTTAAACAGTTTGATATTGAAAATAAGGGTAGACATGTGGCTTAATACTAACAATTGTTTTTTCTGGTTTTGTTTTCCTTCAAAACAGGAAGGGGATGATTATGAAGTCATTCCCAACAGCAATTTTAATGTCTCCAGAACAGCCTACAAAGATAATTCATCAGTATACCATATCAGTGGGAAGAAAGCAACATTTAAAGATGTTGGTCTTTTGCTTCGAAGTCATGGGATTGATCTAGATCATAATAGGTTTTTGATTTTACAGGTAATTTTTGAATATTTGGTTATTTGATATAATTTTTATTCTAAGATTTGTCTAGGTGCTGTATTGTATTTTGGAAACTTTAAGGTGCTCTAGCAGCACATCATGATTTGTATGTCATAGTAATTATGCAAGTCATTATTTGCTGCTTTAGAATTTTAAGGAAGAGAATCACTTGAAGTTTGTGGTATGATTATTTCTGTATTGTAGATAGGTAAATAAGCTGAACTATACTTGTTCCGCTGTAGCAGCACGTAAATATTGGTGTAGTAAAGATTATCTTAACCCCAATATTATTGTGCTGCTTAAGCGTAGCAGGGATTAAACAGCACTTTCCTTTCCCATTCTGTTACATTGGTATTGATCTCTATACATTTTCAGTACAGCATTAAAACTTATGTGATTGAAGTAAACACAATTGATTTTTTTTCCACAGGTTACCAAATTGTCTTTTCATTCTGTAAGCATTTACAGATAGCTTATATTTTGTTTCCACAGCAGTTGAAGATAAGGCCTAAAATATTTATAACCCTACTTTTAACAAGTGTAGGCAATCCATACTGCTTAATGTTTCACATGTGGCAAAAAAAGCTTTTTATGAAGGGAAAAGCCACGTAACTTGATATTCAATAATTTCCACTTTCTGTTTCATAATAACGATTGAATTTCCACACTAATCACCTGGGAAGAATTATGCAAAACCTAGCTTATTGCAATTTAGAATACTTTTTTAAAAAAACACCCCTAATTAGCAATTAAGTTTAGCTAGATATTAAAGACACTGATGTGCTAAAATTGGTTAGAGATATTTTTGGAATAATTTTTAAATAGCAGAAAATTTGTGATCCAGTTAAAATTTATTTGGATAAATTTTTTAGGTGTTATTCAATCACAAACAAACACTGAAGCATTTTAATTATTGCAAAACAAGGAACAGTAGTAATATCAGGACGTTCAGCTCTTTGTATAACCCAATAGAAAATGTATAGTAATGCCCCTTAACGTAAGAACAAGTAAGTGCAAAAAGTGTTTCTGTAGGTACAGAGCTGCTTTTATATGCCTAAAGTTCATTATAACCTGGATTCCTGCATACCAATGCTCCAAGGTTACTTTATATATTGAAAAGGAATAGACAAGTGCATTTATAAATATGAAAAGTACTCTGCATTCTTATTTGTTAGGATGCTTCCTATTTTCGCAAATTTAAGCATTAAAATTTTTGTAAAGACAGTGCTTTTAATAGTTAAAAATGAGGCAACTATTTGTTTGGGTAATGGCATTAACATAACGTAAGTATATTTGTGAAGCTTTAACTCAGGTTTTCTTATTTGTAAGATGAAGCTAGTTTTAAAAAAATGAATGTAATTCAATGAGATATTAGACCATAATATCAATATAGCTTCCAGCAGTAAGTGAAAGTGTGAACAAGTTCTTCATCAACATTTCACAGATTAATAATGAACAGGTGACGTCATGATGATTTTACAAGGTTAATGATGTTATATCAAGCTGCAATGACTGAATAAATATCAGTTAGGTATAGTCATAAAACATGCTTTACCCCTTTAAAAAATAAAGTAAGCCCTAAGCTAAGTAATACATGGCCTTATAGAGTTGGAATATGACTATTTACATTCTAGTGATAACTTGAATGATAGGCCTATATCACTAGAAGGAATTGTTGTTTTCTCTGAGAACGTGACTAATTGAAATATTGCTTAAATTTAATGTGGTAAGTCAAATAACTACTGTTTTCAACTTCATTTGTTTCCATGTTATGTTCTCTTCTTAAAGTAGCTATGTTTTCAGATTCAACAAGTGGCATAACTAAGAACAGGACTAAAAGTAGATTGCTTTTTGTATAGCAACCCTCCATTTTCTAGGATAGGTTGTCTAAGGAAGATAGGAGTTGTAATCTGCTAAACAACTGGTTGTAGTACGCTATTCTGTAGCAATATTTAGAATTCTTGAAGGCAGATTATCTGACTTTTCAATAGGGCAATTTAAGATTTCATTCTGTTATATGCTTGCTTATAAAATTACTTGATTCAGTAGAGATTATCTGTGTGTGTGTTTGTGTGTGTGTGTATCAGTGTAAAGTACTAGGAGGGGAATCTTTACATGTTAAACAAGTATATATGAGCTAGCTTTTATTTTGAATAAAAAAAACCTGTTTGATAGTTAGAGGTCTCAGGTTCCTAAGAAGATGCATACTATTATTCCATCAATAAATATTGAATATCTTAAATATTTTAGCAAAAAGTAAATGGTGTTATATATTTAACTGATTACTTGTTTTCTCATAATTTTGTACTATGTTTAGTGTCTTAATTAAAAGTTAAGGACACACATAAAAATGTTGATTCTCTTTACTCCCTACCATGGATTGTATTCAGTTAGTATCTTTAATAATTTCCCTCGTTGGAAAGAGGAGGGTTGCAACTTTGTCTCTACGTCTGCACACCCTCAACATCTTTATGGAAGTTGTGGGTTTCAGGGATTGCAAGAGGAAGTTAGAAGGAAAACGTCTGTTTTGAGAAGTCTTTATGAGCAGGCAGCTGCTCACACAGTGTTGGATATTGCTCCATGGATCTTGTTCGGTTCATCTCAGTACACCTTTAAAATACAGTAAATGGAGCAAAGAATTTACTTAGAAGCAAAATTCCAGGTTCCTAGGAGGATGGAGTTAGAATGAGCAGAGCACTTTTTTCATGAGGTGTAACCAGGTCGGTCTATGTGGTGCTTTGGTAAAGACAGAAATTGGTGTCTGAAAAGTAGCATAAGGCTTCAGACTAGTTTTTGTAGAGTATGCCCTCCCACTAGAAGAATCAGTATTTTATGGGATAGCTATTTGGGGAGGGGGCTGTTGGAAGAATATAAAGAATACAGTTGAATGGTTTTCTGTTTGTGAAATGGGAAAGAACAGTGATGCTTCCTAAATGTGCATTTTATTTCATTATCCTATGGTGCACAGTAAGGTGGCTGTTATCTTTATCTCTGAGTTACACAATAGTGTGAAGTGTGTGGACAGAGTCACTGTGTGCTACCAGCTAAAATGCCCTGCCGAATTCATAAAAAACAGCTTTTTAATGAAATAAATTCAGGGTGGATGGATAACAGCTACTCACTTCCTTGTGTCTCCCAATCCAAATCACAGTGTTCTAAATTTCAAATAAAAGAACTCTCTTAAAGTGTTAACTTATCAGAGTAATGCTTTCTACCTACACCATGCTTCAATGTGTAAAATATATTAGGTTTGTGCTTAATATGGATACTTATAATATGAGAATGGAATAGGATACAAAATTTGAGAGGTATCTGTATATATAGCTTCTATTATGTCTTGTAGCCAGGGTCCATTGGCATATTTTTCTCCTGGTGATAGCATTGTAATTAACAGATTTCTTCTATAGAGGATTCTACAGAGGATTGGGTCTGGAATTGGGAATAGGACATGGAAAGCAGGCCTCAGATTGAATTCTTGTGTTTAAATGCAATGCATCAATTTCCATACAAAATGGACCCAAGAGGATCAGTGGTTGAGGTTCACAAGAGTGTTAGGCCTAAGCATTTGCCGGAGACAAGATTTCCATCTTGAGATACATAGAAACTTTACTTAGTATGTCAGCTACAACTGTTCCTAAATCAATCTGACTTAGCAACACTTCTCCATGTCTTAGTTACATTATGATTTGACTATGCAATGTGCTCTGAATGGAGCTGCCCTTGAAATGGGTCTGGGATCTCCAATTGGACACATGACAGGTAGGTGCTAACATGTTCATATGACCCTGATACTGATAGCCTTGCACTGCTTGCTAATTGCTTCTCAGGCTCAATTCATGGGGATGGTTATAATCTTCAAAGTCCTAAATGGTTTGGGGCCTGGCTATCTTGAAGGACTGCCTGTCTTGTTATGAGCTTGTCTGGACTTTAAGATCTTCAGAAGAAGCCTTCTTCAGAAATCTATCTACCAAGCACATGGGAGAGGGTTTCTCTTGTGTTGCTCCCAGACTGTGGAATACACTATCTTATGAGTTGCAATCTGTTTCCACTATGATTTTAAAAGAAAGTAAAAACACATGTTTCTAGGCAATCATATGATGCTTAGCTTGCCCTGCTGTGTTGGTTTATAATTTAATGGCTTTTAATATATGTTGATTTTAAAGGTTTTATAGTGGAATGGGGTTATATGTTTTGTGTGGCTTTTTCCTGTTTTAATTCTTTTTTTAAAAAAAGTTTGTAAGCTGCTGGTTGTTGTGGGTTTTTTGGGGTCTTTGGTCGTGTTCTGAAGGTTGTTCTTCCTAACATTTCGCCAATCTCTGTCGCCAGCATCTTCAGAGGACAGGAGTCAGAACTCTGTGCTCTGGTCCAGTTTGTTTGGATAGTTGAGTATTTATAGCCGTGGGATCAGCTTTTGTCCTTTTCAGGAGATGGGTGATTGTGGTGATTGGTGTATTTTTTGTTGTGGGTGTATTGTTGTGATAAGAGGAGAAATTATCTGTCACTGTGATTGATGGGTGTCGTTAGCTGGTCTTGAACGCTATCTTTAAATCAAAAGGAAGGGAATAAATAAATAAACAAATAAAGCAGTCTTACAGATTCAGAGGATGGATCCTTACAGCTATTATGCCTCTTGGCATGCTTGAGTTTCATAATCAATTTTAGTCAGAATCCAAAATACTCATGAAGGGGGGAACTCTATGTAGGTGAGAATTGTAAATTTTTCTTGCAAAGTATAGCTTTTAGCACCATGTTCAGTGTCACTTGGAAATGTCTCTCCCATGCTCATGAAGTATGATGGGTTACAGTAGATGGCTGGGACAGAAAATTGTCATGTGTAAGTATGTTATTTGGATCCCAGCCAAAGTACATGAAAGTAAATATGCCATATTTATAATGCTTAGCCTCAGAAGCAAGTTATTTTTCCCCATGGTTCTTTTCATAAAATAGCAGTTTTTAATGCAATATGTTTCATACTGAGTCTTACAATTTGTTAATAGGGTGATGAATTCACTTTTAAGAGTGTCACTGTAAGCTTTGCCTTATTGCTGTAAATTTGTATCTTATCTACTAGGATTTTTTTAAGCAAACTGTAAGTGAAATATTAAAAATGATGGAGAGGTGAGCTTTAAGTTAGCATTTATTTTCACATATTCCTCTTTGGCTAAATAATTTAGTTTTGAATCTGCCTGTATTTTTGAATATCGAATACCGTAATTTCAATAGTATAAATAACTATTTTAGCATTTCTCTTAAATGATTTTATTAGTACTTATTAATGTTAAGGTCTTATGTTAGTGGAAGTAGTTATTGCACTGTGAAGCCAATTGATATCTCACGTGGTTGATGTTTTTCTAATTTTTTATGCATTTTCTCCACAAAACAATGACACCTAAAATTTAAACTGAAACAGGAACAAAATATTTTGCAAAACAGTTCTATCCATATTCGTTCTTATATGCACTATTTGTTGTAGCTGTTTATATTATTGTATTGGGTTTTTGAAGAAGAATATAATTAGAGAGCGACCCTATGTTCATAGCTAGAAGAAAGTCCCATTGAATTAATTGTGGCTTCTGAATATACCCGCAGAAGATTGCATTATGAACCTTTCTTCTAGTTCAGAAAAATTATTCTTTCTGCAGTTGGCAAATAGAATTTACATAGAGCATTTAACAACAAAAAATCAATTTTACGTGGTGATAAAAATTCAGGATGATGTGGGTGTGGCTCCATCAGGTTAGCTTTAAAAACTGTTCATTTCTGATCTAGTAAAAGATTTTTGGGAGAGGATATTTTTTAAATGATATGTTTTTTAAAAAAATGTGTGTGATATTTTAATATATCTCCTAAACAGAAGATATATCTTGAAGGAAATATCTGCTTTAGCTGAATAATTGCAAAAAGCACAGGGGTTTCTTGATTGTGACTATCATTTACCATATAGTTGGTTGTTTATTTATTTTGGGTTTTTTGATTATTTTTCTAATCAGGTATATTAGTAGTTTACATTGGATATAGGATCTTTTCACTGTTTTTTTCCAAAATTAGTGCAAGAGTCTGTGATTTATTTCTGAAGTCCTATTAAAACTTCTTAAATGTAGGCATGATTCAGTTATACTAAAATACAGTTTCTCCTATTAAAAGCAATTAGAGTTTAAAATGCTGAACTTATAAATGAATGTGCTATTTCTGTTTGTGATGTAAGTGTACATTTAATAATATAATTAAAAGCAGCAGATATAGTGTGATTTATTGGATCATAATTTTTTACCAAACCGTAATAAAATTACAGAATAAAATAAAATCTGTGCTCAGTACACATATTTATATTTTAATATAGTGAATATTACATAAAATTAAGTAAAAGCTTTTCAGTCTTTAAAGAAAATTTTTAAAAGCCTTCCTATCAGTGAAAAACCTAGGAACTGAAGCTTTAACTTGCTAGTTTATAGATGTTTTGACAGGATATAATACACTTAAAGTAATGAATTTTTGAAATGCAGAAAGGTAAGATGAGTATGCCATTTTATATTGGAAAAGACCTTTTGAAAGAAAATGAAAGGATATGCCACACTTCAGTAGGTGGACAGATTTAATTCACCAAGGCCAGTGAGGGGGACAAGAGTTTATGTCTGTCTCATCTTTTCATTTTAGATATGATTTTTTTAAGGATACTGGTTGCTTGGTATATCTGTTAAAACATTGATTGGTTCAATTTAAGTTTTACATGCTAATTGAGCCTGTATTGTTCATCTTTAGTATTTAAGAAGCTGGCATACGCCTGTTCAGTAGATAAATTACCATTTTTTTTGTTGAGTTGAACTGCACTAACTGAAACATTACATGCACAGTCCATATTATTTTAAAATTTGGCTCTTTTTTTGGCTGAACAGATTGCATTGTTCAGGTGGTCTCATTCTTCCCCTAAAGCATGGGATAGTGCTTTCTCAAGCCTAATACAGGTAGTTATAATAAGGTGCCGGTGTCTTACTCCTCTCAAGTCCACAATAAAAGTACAGAGCAGTTGCTCCATATTTATGTTATGCTTTAACCTTGAAAATCAGATATTTTTCTAATAGTTCAGCTCTTACTCAGGAAACCCTCTATTTGATTGTGAATAAAGGTGAATAAGCACAATACATTTTTTTAAAAAATTATTTCTTAAAATTGATTTTTTAAAAACTGCACAAGTAGATGTTATTTGGACTTAAAGTAGAAAAAGTAGACTTTTCTTTTCCTGCTGTTTTCTAGAGATGACTGATTTGCACTACTAGACATTTATAAAACAGAACCTCCTTAAGTTTTGCTGGTCTTTGGACACTAGAATATGCAACTTGGTGAACTTCATTTCCTCTTTTAGAGTCTGATTCCATTAAGCATATACCAAGATTACACAACCAATAATCTTCTAACAAACCATTTTATTGGCTGTTAATTCTAGTCCTGTATGAGACTGAGATACAGAAAGGCCAATTGGAAAATGTTAATATCACATCCATGTTGCATATTGCTTGGCGAGTTATTATGAAGGCTCTGGGTCACTGAACAATTTTCCTACTTTGATTTTGTTGTTTAACTTTATAGTTCAGGCTCCATGTCAGATCAAGTTACTTTATGTCATTTAAAAAAAAATACTATGGATCAAAATTTTATTTGATTGAACTCTTTCTTTTTGAGCAGGTATAAGTAAACATTGTATGCCCTGTTTACATTTCCTCCCAGTTACTAAAAGCAGTTGTAGTAACTTAAATTATTAAGTTAGTAACTTAATTATTAAGGGGCAGATGATTAGTGAAACATAAACTACTTCATGAAGTCTCATTAAAGGCTGGATTAAATTAAGATTAAATTGATCTGAGAATGAATTTTCCTTATGTTACAATATGCATGTGAGAGTTAATACATTTTGCTATAATTGTTTGTTTATCATTTCCTACATGTTAGTTGGAACTGGTGGTGTGAAAGTATGGTGAATTATTTGTGTTAGAACAGTGTTCCTGTTCTGTCAGTTGAGATATTTAATATTTCTGCCTAAATTGGCTTCTTTCTACACTTTTCAAGAAAACTAGCTTTAACTTTCCGTCCAAATCTAGTACCTCCTGCCTGAACTTGCAGACAAGCAATTCTATTCTCCATAGAGAATAGATTGAACTTTGATTCTGCTGCTTTGCCTTGGGACATTTCTGACCTCTATATACAAATGTGACCCACAGTGTCTTTCACTATGTGTTTTCTTCTTTGAGGTGTGTATACAGGTCCTAACATTGCCTTATTACTACATAGTGATTCTCTACTCTGGCTGTGACAGTTGGTGTAGCCTTGCAGCTTTTTTATTGAATAGAGCTAATACTAGCAGGAAGCCTCTCTACAAAAATTGAAAGATTCTATCTTGAGCACTGCCATGCAAATATGGCACATTGTAAGCTAGTGGTTCTAAAACATTTGATTTTTAGCAGGCATGAGACTTCGACATTTTTGGACTCCCAGAATTCTGGGAGATAGCTAAAAACAAAAGTCTTTAGACCATCTTTTCTCACCTCCATTGGTAGCTCCATAGCCTTGACTCTCCATTCCAAAAGCATGAAACTACTCCAATGTTCCCTTGGAGTCACAATGTTTCATGGTCGTGGCAAGGCTCTGTGGGGAGTAGTTCTTTGGGAACAGATCTCTAATGAGCCTAATAGACCGTGAGACTACCTCTCCCATGATGTCTTTCAACTCCTATGAAACACTGGGGAAGTTTCCTTTATGAATTGGGGATCATAGCAACAGAGCCAAGAATAAAGATTAGAAAAGTTGGTCTGTGGACTTATAATTTTATCTCCCAGTTGGAATCTCCAAGTCCTGTGCCTAGTCTTCAAATGTTTCAGATCTTACTCTGCAGAAACACCAACTAACACCTCTAGTTGTCTGAGCTTCTGAGAGGTGGGAGTCTAAAACCAAAAGGTGATAACTAATTAGATCGTCCATGGCCTAAATTAAATCCAACAGAATGCTAGAAAAGTAACATTGTATTGTGTCATTGCATATGTAGTTGTACAATAAAAACTACATCTTTGCACTAATTGCGAAAGCATGATTCCTGGTACAATTATATCATCAGCTATGGATGTGCATATAATTATGAACTGCAGTAAGTTGTGGCAATTTATAATACTCTGATTTCCTTAAAATACTACTTTTACTAATACAGTGGTACCTCGACTTGAGAATGTCCCTACATAAGGACTATTCGGGTTAAAAACAGCACCTTTATTTAAGAACGAAAAACAGCAGATATGGATTAAATGGTTTTCAATGCATTCCTATGGGAAATGATGCTTCGACTTAAGAATGCAGTCCCAATACGGATTAAGTTCTTAAGTCAAGGTACCACTGTAGTGGCTATCTCTCAGTTGTGAACATTGCCTATCTGGAGTAATAACAAACTTTTAAATCTCCTAGTTCATAAGAGGAGTAGTCATCTCATATTCATAATAAAATGTTTACAGAAGCCTTTTGTTTCCTTGATTAAAAATAATTGTTTTGTAAGAAACTTAATTTAAATGCATTGTGGAACAACTGAACAGTCACCTTTTTTACATTCCATACCTCTAAGCATGTTGCTGAAAATTGCCTTAGTTATGATACTGTAATGCTGACATATATTGCTTGTTGCTTAACTAATGTTTTGAAGTTACATTGGGTGGAAAGGTGACATAAAAAAGATGTATACAAATCAATGTCTATGTTTGTGGAAAGACATCACATAGCACAGCACTAAAATGCTGGCATTCACCTGAACATTATATATTATTCCCTAATTAAAATGTCTAACACATTAATCCTAGCCATCCTCTCATGGAGGTAACTTGTAGATTAGAGCAATTACAATCGTGGTCTTGCCGAATTTATCATATTGCTTTATAGGGGGAAGTTGAACAAATAGCAATGATGAAACCAAAAGGACAAAGTGAACATGATGAAGGCATGCTTGAATATTTAGAAGATATAATAGGATCAGGACGATTAAAAGAGCCTATTCAAATATTATGTCGAAGAGTCGAGCTATTAAATGAACAGAGAGGTGAGAAGGTAAGATTTTGGATTACTAATTGCTATTTCTTACTGGATTTTTTCTGGACTGAACCAGTTTGGATTCTGTCAACAATTCACATGCTGTATTCACCTAATATTTTTATGGATATTGCAGTTTTGGTGTTCAGTGCCATAAAATTTTGCTTTACCTGCTTCAGTTTTTCTTATTGAATTTTGCATAAGTAATTAAGCCCATCTCAGCATTAAAAAATACTGTGTATTGTGTCTAGTTGAACAGAGTTAAAATGGTGGAAAAAGAAAAGGATTCCTTAGAAGGAGAGCGGAACAAAGCACTTGAGTTTCTTTCTTTGGAAAACAAAATGTTTAAAGAAAAGAACAAGATATGTCAATACTACATGTAAGTAGCATTTTGGAATGAGTAGGAAGGTGCAATCCAGAATTTATGAAATAAATGTATACTTTATGATGAACAAATTTGACAAGAATCTGCTGTGCTATTTTCTTATTTATTTATTTATTTATTTGATTTTTGCCCCGCCCCTCTAGACAACGTCTACTTATTCACAGGAGACTAAATATTGTGACCAGACAGGCTCCCAAAGTAGAGTGTTTCTGCCACCAGTTGAAGACTTGTGTTTACTTGGACATTTTTACTGATCACCACCCTAGTCACTTAACACTTTCAAATGTTAGTGACATTAATGAAATATTTTGCAGTTCAATTGCCATTCTGTTTTATTACCTGATTGTATTTTGCAGGTTTTCGTGTTACAGTATTGTAAAACATTTTGGTACTTGGCAAATGAAAAGCAATGTGTCTTAATTTTTTTTCATGGTTGAATTAAGACTTGGTTGCCTTTAGGCCTCTATGAAATCAGTGTGAAAAGTTAGTCATGACTTGTTTTATTGAAATCAGTGGAACTTAATGTGACAGACAGAATCCAGATACATTCATCCGAAGCTACACCATTCATTCTAAATGATTCTTTGATGCACATGCACCATATACTTTTTCTTCATTGTGAGAGAATGTTCTATATTGGGCTGTGAGAATAAAGCTTTCTATTAGCAAAGTTAGTAGGAATACTTCATACAGTACATTTTGACTTAACTACATTAATGTAAAAGTCCTGTCCAGTTATTATGCTCAGAATTGTGGAGGAACGAATGAAAGGCAGGAAGTCACATAAATCTTGCCTTCTACATCCTACAAGCAGAAGTCAATAAGTCCTTTTCAAAATTAAGATCTGCAAAAGAGTCTGTAAGTGCATTCAGCTGAACATGTTTACCATATTCTTGTGGTGAGGAACCCTGAAAAGCCTGAGCTCCTGATCATGACAGAGTTATGTTTGGCTGAACATGTTTGCAGACTCCCTTATATACCTTCATGTTAAACACTGTAAAGTCTTGCTGATTCTGGGTGCAGTAGGAGAATGAGTGGAGTTTATGTCTGCACTGTAATTCTTACCACTTATTACATCTGCCACAATTTCAGGCATGATATGCATGGATATGGCTTGATTGTTACTCCAAACATGAGTGCCCATTTAATCAGTAGTACTTGTATAAGTGTTGGCTTCAGAAGCCCCATCAATTTGATAGTACCAAACAGAACAGACAATCAAATGAAGCCCTAAAGCTGCTCTCTCTCTCTCTCTCTCTCTCTCTGTGTGTGTGTGTGTGTGTGTGTGTCTAACACACACTCTTACATGAAAATCTTATACTTTTAAGGTTTTTCTGCAATATTGACTGTTTTGTTTTTTAGTTATGAACTGCAGAAACAGATAACTGAACTAGAAACACAGAAGGAAAGAATACATGAAGACACAACAGACGTCAATGAAAAAAGCAGTAAACTAGCAGATGAAATGAAAGATAAGACTAAAGCTCTGAAAGAAGTAGAAAAGTAAGTACTAGTTCTGCTATTGGGCAGGCATTAATCAGTAAGATATGAATGTATGTATATGCCCTCATTTTGCTGTTATAGGCACATTGTGTAATGAACTTGACATTTTTGATCTTCAGTGAAAGTGACAAAAGTAGTTTGGCTCATGTTTCTTTTGGTTACAAAGGTAATAAGATTGTTTCCCTTTTGTTTTTAGGAAACTTAATAAAATCACAGTATTTATAGAAGAAAACAAAAAGAAATTTACACAGTTGGATTTGGAAGATGTTCAAGTAAGAGAAAAATTAAAACATGCAAAAAGCAAGTCAAAAAAGCTAGAGAAGCAGCTTCAGAAGGATAAAGAAAAGGTACAGGTCCAACTATTGAACTATAAATGTGATATAAATAATATCTGAAATGTTTGTCAATATAGTATTAAAAATAAAACCTGATGCACAGCATTAAAACAAACTGAAGTCTGTAGTCTTTTTTCTTTTAGTGAAGCATAAGTGTGCCAATGATTGCATACTGATGTTATGTGTGTTTTACTCAGAATGAAATCTTGTTGACTCCACTTGGTCTTTCTGATTAGGTATGCAGATTGTGTCCCAGTTTTTAAATGATATGTTAGTGTCTTGTTGAGAGTTTAGAAGAGTTGTCCTCACAGCATATCAGTCCATTTGACCTCTAGCTTGCTATTATGGCAACCAAAGATTAACCCATTGCAGTTAATGGGACTTATATTTGTGCGGTAAGATATGGCAGAAAGCCCAGCCCTCAGGCAGTGAACAGTTGAACGCATAAAGTAAGCAAAGAGGATTCTGGCCATAGACATAGTAAAAATCACTGGATTAGACATCTGATCTCTCACTGTTAATTCCACCATGCAGTGTTCTATACACTTAAAAACCTGCAGAGGGTTGGAATAGGGTTCTGAGCAGCAGTCAGAGTCATACAGACTGTTCTACTTGAGGGCAACTCTGGAAATTGGGCAAAAGAATCCCCTAGCAACAGTTGGCTATAAGAGCTGAATTCTGCTTTCACAACCACAGTATACCAGTCACCTTATCAGATTTATTAGCTATCCTAGAACAAATCAGTTTTTCTCTCATAAAAACGGGGGGTTTTGAGTACAGAAAATAAATATTCAGCAACCTCTTAACTGGGTACTTTGCTAGTTGTGATAATTTAGAATCATCTGTTATGAGCTGAGTTGCTGCATTGTGTGATGTTTTTGTCCTTTCAAACGCATGCATAGTAGTGTGTAATAGATTACCTGGTGTGGATTCAAGGATGCATACAGCTGTGCACCTTGTGAAATCACCAATTTTATGCTTTTTATATATTGCCTTTGTTTTATGTGGCAACAAAGCAGCTCACTACAGAACAAAAGTAAGACTATACAATGGTGCCCTGCATAGCGACATTAATCCGTTCCAGGATTAACGTTGCTATGTGGAAACATCGTTCAGTGGAACAAAAAAAACCGTAAGAATGCATTAAACCCTGTTTAATGCGTTCCTATCAGGCAAAAACTCACCGTTCAGCGAGGATCCTCCATAGGGGCGGCCATTTTCGTCGCCTTGGTAAGCGAGGAATCCCTCCAGAAAAGAACTGGAGCCATCTTCCCTGCTCCAGCCCTTCCCCCTCCCCGCCTTACAGCTGACAGGTGGGAGCTGCTGCTGCTCTTAGAAGCTTGGTAAAGGTAAAAGTAAAGGTTCCCCTTGACAATTTTTGTCCAGTCGTGTCTGACTCTAGGGGGCGGCGCTCATCCCGCTCTTCAAGCCAAAGAGCCAGCGTTTGTCCGAAGACAATCTTTCCATGGTCACATGGCCAGTGTGATTTAGACACTGAACGCTGTTTACCTTCCCACCGAGATGGTACCTATTTATCTACTCACATTTGCATGCTTTCGAACCGCTAGGTTGGCGGGAGCTGGGACAAGCAACGAGCGCTCACTCCGTCGCGTGGATTCGCTCTTACGACTGCTTGGTCTTCTGACCCTGCAGCACAGGCTTCTGCGGTTTAGCCCACAGCGCCACCACGTCCCTTCTTAGAAGCTTGACTAGCAGCTAAATAGGCAGTGTAAATGCACTGCCGAAGTCTCTGAAAGCGGCTCTTTGCCTGGGTGGGGATGGGTGGGGGTGTGGCAGGGACAGGCCCGCCATCCCCCCGCCACCCCCCACCCCCTCGCGCCGCTTTCCGAAGCCTCCTGGGGCTATTTCAGCAGTAAAAATGCACCTCTAAAAGCGGCACTTTGCCGTGGGGGTGGCGCGAGGGAGGGTGCGGGGTGGTGGTGGGCCTGTCCCTGCCACCCACCCACCCACACCCACCCCGGCAAAGCGCCGCTTTCAGAGGCTTCAGCAGTGCATTTGCACTGCCTATTTAGCTTCTAGGCAAGCTTCTAAGAGCAGCAGCAGCTCCTGCCCGTCAGCTGTAAGGCGGGGAGGGGGAGGGGCTGGAGCAGGGAATATAGCTCCAGTTTTTTTATGGGATGATCGCTTTCCCCCCCTCATTGCAAGCTCTGCAAAAATGGAGCATTTGCGATGAGGGGGGGAAGCCATCATCGCAATGCGATTTTTCCCTATAGGAAAAATCGCAATGCGATGGCAAAAGCGATCCAAAAATCTTCATCGCTATGTGGATTCTTCGTTAAACGGGGCACCCGTTAAGTGAGGCACCACTGTAAAGAATTTTAAAATACTGTCTCCCATAGACCAAAAAACTCCTTATCAAATGACAGAGAAATGAGAAATATATATTTTTAATGACAGGATTAATCTAGCAGACAAATTAGACTTTAGCTTAAAGAAAAAGATCCTAAGGCAAATAAAACAATATGGTCTAGGACCGTCAAAGATTTCCATGGCATAGGGAATACTGCAACCTAGGGACTAATGCAGAGAAGGCTTGTCTCGCGTTCTTTGCCTTTTTTGGCAGGACAGTGCTAGTGAGTTTCTCCAGTAGGATTCTAATCCCACTCCCTCAAGGGAGTGCCATTTGTATGGGCTGAATATGCCTGCATATAGACCAATATCTGGCCTTCAAGGTATTTCCTCTACTTCTAAAACAAAAGCCTGCTAGAATTATAGCTGTTAAAGCCCCTGTTTTTCTACTTAGAGGGATAGAAGTACCAGTGTCTTGGGGCTGCAACAAGTGCAGTTTCCTAAATTTAAGCACAAACAAGCTCTTGCTCTCAAAATTGGTGGATTTGTTCTTTGCTAAACCAATTATTAATGGCAGAAAAATCTAACCTTGAGTAAGAAAATTATCATGAATGGATGTGATGGGAAGAAGCACAAAACAAGTGTGAATATTATGTCTTGCTAGGTGAATCTTTATGTAAGAACATTAATACAAAATGGAGATTCATGTTGAATACACTGTCACTCTATAAAGTATAATACATAATTAGCTGCTCTAAACAATGTTCAGTTCTAAATCTATTTTTATAACTATGAATAACTATTCTACTTAATATGTAGATCTGACAGTGAACTAAGATGTTATTAATATGTGGCTGAAATATAGTATTAAATTGCAACAAGCGTAGGTGCATTGAATCAATGAAATTTACAAAGGTGATGACTCGCCAAATCCTGGCCTATTCTAGTTGTGACTTACTACTGGATTTCAGCCTTTGAATTGTTTGGTGTTTTGTATGTTAACTTTAAGTCTAATAAGACTAAAAAATTGAGTTCCCCATGCTGGGCAAATCATTCCCATAGTTGAAAAATTAACTTAATTTTTCCTTAGGTTGAAGACTTACAAAATGTTCCTGCCAATAGCAAGGCTACGATCAGCGAAGCAAAAGCTAAGACAGAGATTCTAGAAAAAGAGAAGGAAAGAGCAGAAGAAAAACTAAAAGAAGTGATGGATAGTCTTAAACAGGAAACACAAGGATTGCAAAAAGAGAAAGAGGTGTGTATTGACATTTCTAGTATATTAAGCTATTTCTTCTGTATCCTTGAAGTAATTAATCATAATTAAGCATGTAATGATCATTTAGGAAACTCACTAACTTTCTGTAAAAAATTATATAGGAATTAAAACATATTAATGATTAAAACAGATGGTTTTATTTGCCACAGCAAATGGCCATTCTTTCCAAGCAATTTGTCAAATTACACCTATCCCCATGCCTTCCTATGTCATAGCGCTGCATGTGGTCTCTGGAGATAAATCACAATATTATAGTAAATCTGATTGTAGCAGCAGTCTTACACTTTGCTCTATAAAACCAAACCATTAATACAGTTGTATTTCTGTGCTGGCAATTCTCAGTAATGCAGTGCAGCAGCACCAAAGTAGGTGGCATGTGGATATATTTTCATTTAATTTTTGTTTATACTGTTGGGGGAAGCATTATAATAGTTGCCATTTTCTTGGATTACAGAAGGAAATGGCAACTATTCTGCTTCCTCCTGACAATTCTATATATCATATACTGTTTTGATCTCAGTTTAGGAAAATGTAATTTTACTCTAACAGAAACAACAGGCAAATTTATTTACAGGTAAGCAAAACTGGTGAGTGACTGTTGATCTGTAAGCCTGGATTAAAGTATAATAGTTATTTGTTTAAGCATGAGTTGAAACTAGTTCCATGTTAATAAACTCACAACCATGAATTTAACGGATGCAGTCTACTTTGTTTAGGTACTACATATGATACACATTTCTGTCAATGGCTGAAATCCAATAGTATACAATCATAGCTAATGCCAGCATTATCAAGACACTATTTCATATTACAGGCTGGGTTTACAGGGCAGATTCTTGGAGTAGAGCAGAGGCTACAGGAAGAGAGAGAGAGTGTGGCTGATTCTGGTGGAAGGAATATGATCCAGTCAAAATATATTGCTCTTGGCTACTGTAATTAACATGATTCAAATAATGGATTAGAATTTAAGAAATGTAACCTTTTTCACTTTTTTAATTAGTTACATTTATATCTCCTTTCCTCCACTGAGCTTAAGGCAGTATATAGTGGTGCCTCGCTTAACAGGCGCCCCGTTTAACGACAAAATTGCATAGCGATTAACTTTTTTTGATCGCTTTTGTGATCTTTGCGATGTTCGCAAAGTGATGAATTTTTAACAACTGATCGGCGGTTCCAAAATGGCCACCGGTTTAAAAAAAGGCTGCCTGCTGTTTTCTGGGATGGATTCCTCGCTTACCGGGCAGCAAAAATGGCCGCCGTATGGAGGATTTTCGCTTAAAGGTGAGTCTGAAGCCCATAGAAACGCATTGAAGGGGTTTCGATGCATTCCTATGGGCTTTTTAATATCGCATAGCGACGAAATCGCTTTGCAGCAATTTTTGCTGCACCGATTATCGTCGCTATGCAAGGCACCACTGTATATAGCTTTCCTGTCCTCTTTATTTTCACAGCAATTATGTGAGAAAGATCAGGTGATGAGATAGATCCTCTTAAGAGCTTGATACACTGAACACTGCAGCACATAGTATAGTTATGTAAAGATCAGGTGAAATTTTCCTTGGAGGAAACAACTTGGGAAGTTTCAGAGGGTGCCAGCTGAACCAGTGGAGGGGGCTTCTATCTTATCTCTCAAATACAAGTAGGTAGAGTGATTGTCTTTTGGCATAGTTTTCATTTAGAAGTCTGATCAGTTCCAGTCAATAAGGAGAGGACCCTCCAGAGAGAGTTACAGATACCGCCATGTTGCTTTTGACTGGTTGAATTGTTCAGTGAGCTAGGCATCTGCTTGCAGTGCTGGAGGGTTTGAGTTTGATTCCCTACTGTGTAGGGAAAACCAGCCTATATAGTGTTGGGTAAGTTGCACAGTCTCAGGGTGCCCCAGAAGAAGGGAGCAATAAAGCATTTCTGAGTACTGTATAATTAGAAAATCCTGGAAAAAATCACCATAATCCACAGTTGATCTGATGGCACACAATTGTTGTTGTTGCATTGCTTTCGATAGTAGATGAAGTCATTTAAATAGTTTTTAAAAACCTCATTTGTGTTAACTTTTTGTAGGAGAAAGAAAAAGAACTGATGGACTTTAGCAAAATAGTTAATGAAACACGGTCAAATATGGATGTTGCCAAGTCAGAACTTGATTTGTACCTTAGCCGTCATAATATTGCATTATCTCAGCTACAAGCAGCAAAAGAAGCTCTTCAGTCTGCTTCAACAACACGCAAGGAAAGATTAGCTGCTATCAAAGTTCTAGAGTCAAAACTACCTCAAGCTGAAGATGAATTAAGCAAGGTAAGATTTGATTTAAAATTTCCTTATATTTATGAAATGCATAACTTATTAAATATCATATGTAGTCGGAAAATTTTAAGCTCTGTTCAGTTGTGCTTCAATGTGTTGGGATCCCATGTCCTTTGAGGGGAGCATGCTAGCTCTGCTCTCTCCATTGTTTTTTTAATCATGGAAATTGGACTGTCAGAAGAGGGGAAGGCTGATGTACACATGCAAAACCTCTTCATATGAACCAAACATTCCAGCAATCAGGGTTCTGGCTCTTGTGAATAGGCTTCCTGGGTAAAGCTGCCTTCCTTTCTTCAGACATCCCATTTCTGTGATTTGAAATGGTGGAGGTGGGGGTTAAGATGCTTCAGTCATTAATTTTGAGCTCCATGGACTTTAAAACACACTTCAGTGGTTTAGCATTAAAACTCTCGGAACCATAAGTACTATAATCTTTTTTATGGCCGGAATGCAAAGGAAAATGGTAACTACTACAACGTTTTTCAAAATGAAGCAAAGTTTGTGTGATATTTAATAATACACTTGAAATCTCAACTGGGTGATATGGAGGCTCTTGATCAGAATATTTCTGCACAGCTGAAGGAATGTAGGGTGTTAATTAACAGATTACAAAAAGAAACTAAGATCCAGAATAAATGGTTTTGCAGTTCTACTGGTGAACAGTGCTTTTTTTGCTCCTAAATATGATCCTGTTCCTTGGTGCTTTCTCCGCTATGTTTGTTCTCTCTTCAGCATTCTTCTTTGCTTTGCCTTCTATTCTTCCAGTGTCAGAAAGGAAGGAACCAAAGGAGAATAGCAACCATTTGTGCATTATGCATGTACTGATTACTTGGGTATATGAAAAGAGTTTCTAGAAGTTGGGATTTATGTAGGTGTGAAGAAAGGATTTGTCAGACTGGATTTCTACTAATATTAGGGTCAAATTGTGAAAATAATACATACCCCTAGTCCCTCTTCCCATAAAAATATTAACTGAAGAATCCATTTGGAGGACTACTGTTGGACAGTGTCAGTTTGTGCAAGCAATTGTCCTTGTCTTCAAGCATGTATAAGGAAGTGCCTGATACTTCCCTTAGAAAATAATGCCATTTGTCCACTAGGTAGTGAAGTTTCCTGGCTTAGATGCCTGTCTAGTATCCACAGCTCAGTGTTGCCGCCCCCACTACATGATATGGGCAATGATTAGCCTGCAATGGATTCCTGAAAATGCAGAACTTCCTGTTGCACTTTTGCTGGCCTGTCCAGCTCTGTCTCCCTCTGTGGTGCATTTCAGACCCATAATACCACGTATGTATGCCATGGGGCTTTCTCCTCAGTAGCATTAAATAGGAACTTGCATAAAGAAAGACTCAAGTAAACCCCCCTTTGCTTGAGTTATGTTTAAAGATTCAACTTTCAGATGCAGTTGTTGTGATATGTATTATGGACATATGCATTCCTTCTAATTTTATCTTCAAATAAATGGTTTGATCAATCCCATTTTGCTTTAACAAAAAAATCTCTATAATGTTCCAGTAAGATGGCATCTGCTACCAAAAATGGGATGTGGTGACTGTTACATACAGCACTGATGTTACCTGTCTGTCATGGGTTTGGAGGGAAAGTTCCATCCTATGGGGAGTGGAAGGCGGGACATCAGGAGGAGGGGCTGTACTGTATATATATGTGAAGCGTGTGTGGAGAGCAGGAGAAGAGAAGCAGCAGCTGGGAAGAAGAAGCTGGTGTGGGAGTCTGTGTGTCAGACAGGGTACTACTGTGTGTCAGTCAGTACCAACCTGATAGGTTCAGGTGTCTGTATGGTTAGCCAGAACTGATAGGTTCAGGGTCTGTGCTTCAAGTTAAGTGTTCTGTGTGAACCAAACTGCGTGCATGTATGAATGAGACTAAGCCACGTTACTATATCTTATTCACCTGATCATTTTATTTTCCCTGTGTGTTGTTTTAAATAAACCTTATTCCTTTATTTGTTGAAAATCCATCCCTGGTCTGTGTGACTTCTTATAGGGAATGGTTGGTGGCAGCTTAGTGAAACTGTGGCAGATCCCAGTAGGTCTGGGTTTGTCACAGTGACCTCTGAAAGATTGGAAATGTTTAGATGAGAACTTACCTGCAAAAATTGCCATTCTGTTCTCTGGGACAATGTTTTTTTTATTTGATTTGTAAGGTATTTTTGAAAGAACTGTGCCAAGAAATTTAATATTTAGCAGAGAAGGATGATAAGCAAAATATATAACCATGACTCAGAATATTAAATACAAAATCGTATAGCAGAATGTGGTTGTATGTATATAAATATATATTTTTTACATTGGTACTGATTGTCTCCTGCCAACCTAGCAGTTTAAAAGCATGTAAAAATGCAAGTAGATAAACCTCAGTGGGAAGGTAACGGCGTTCTATGTCTAGTCATGCTGGCCACGTGACCACGGAAACTGTCATCGGACAAACACTGGCTCTGTGGTTTGAAAATGGGGATGAGCACTGTGCCCTAGAGTCAGACACGACTGGACTAAATGTCAAGGGGAAACCTGACCTTTACTGATTGTAGAAACATGGGTAGTTGTAAAATTGTAAGATACTTTAATAACTCTTGGAATCATGTATATATGAATTAGATATTTATGTGAAATAATGACATTATTTGTAATTGTAGGTAAGATTTTAAAAAAATTTCCTGTATGCTAAATCAGACTTCAATCAATTTAGGTCAGTGAAAAACTGGCAGATTCAAATTTTTTCAAAAGACCCACATCACTGGCCTTACAGTGCCATTGTGCAGCCGGTAGGTAATTGTCTCTAGCTGATAGAAGGTGATTGCATTTCCCCCCCCTTCATTTGTTGTCATTGCTTTACAGAGTGCCAAGTAATTCTGTGGCTTATGGTAGTTACCAGTAAGTAGTTAAGATAATTTATTCTGCATAATACATGCAATGGACCCTCGACCTATGGAATTAATCCATATTGGAACGGTGGCCGCAGGTCGAAAATTCCATAATTTGAGGGTTCATTTCCATAGGAGTGCATTGAAACCCCATTAATCCGTAACCCGCTCAAGAAAAATACCCCCCACAAAAAAATTGAAAATAAACACCTTACCTGTCCAAAGCCTTTTCTCCATTGTTTTCTCCATTGAAAGCCTTTGAACGGACCATTCAAAGGCTTTCAATGGAGAATTTAAAAAATCACCAAAAATTAACAACGACTCAGAACAACACCAAATTAAGTTTGCATAGGGTTCAGGGGGTGGGCTAACGATTGCAAGCATTTAAAACAGGTTTCTAACAGTTTAAGACACTTTTACAGGAGCGAAAAAGGGACATCATTAAGTGAAATTCCCCCATAGAGAACATCGTTAAACGATGGGGGAAATTCCTCAAAGAAACCCATCGCTGTGTGAATTCATCGTTGTATGAAGCAATCGTTATGCGAGGCACCACTGTATAACTTAAAGGCTCAAACACTCCGATTAGTTTCTTTTATCATTTGTCTCTGTTAAATCAAAGCTGTAACTTGCCATGCAGTCCAATAATTTAGTTCTTTGTATTAGAATTCATACTTACATTGATTGTGATTATGGCAGTAGTATAAATAAATTAGACTGACATTTCCAAAAGTAGAGTTTGTCACCAGTAATTTTTTTAGGAAGTAGTGGTTTTGTCTAACCTTATCCTTTTCTATTCAGCTAAAGTTAAGTGTCCAAGAGTTTATGCTTCACTTAAGCAAATGCAAAATGTTATGTACAGCTGTCATGGTGTTTGCAACTTTAAAGCTTAAGTCTTATCAAACCACCTGTGGATTGTTTTTCTTTTCAGAAAATGAATGAACTAGAAAATCTTGTAAAAGATGAAACAGACATAAAAAATGATGTTCGAGGCCTACGTCAGAAAGTGGAAGAAGCAAGAAGTTCATTGGCAGTGAATAAAAGCCGAGGGAAAGTACTTGAAGCTTTAATCCAGCAGAAAAAGTCTGGTAATATCCCTGGAATATATGGAAGATTGGTAAGTTTTTCTTCCTGTCCCCTTACATAATTTTTTTTCCTTCCCTTCTTTTGGTAGGAATTCATAGAATAACTATGCTTTGTAGATAGAATGCATTTGGCAGAAAGAGTTATTGGCACTCTTGTTAGTAGAATGCATTTGGCAGAAAGAGTTATTAGCACTCTTGTTAGTTTGATCATTCAGTCATTGTCATCTGTTGCGAGGAAGTACAGATAGTGTGTAGTAGAGTAAAACTGTGAACAAAGAGATTGTATCAGAAGAAAGACCACGTATTGACATCAGCAAGACTCGCAATCAAAGAAAAGTGGAGGAATTTGCCCAAGCGCTTGAGGAAACCCATCAAGGTCCTGCTGATGCAAACGCACCTGAACGATGGGAACATTTCAAGAATGCTGTGTATAACACCATCTTGTCCACCTTTGGCAAGAAGACCAAAAAGATGGCTGACTGGTTCAAAGCCCATTTGGAGGAGTTGATGCCAGCCATCAAGGATAAGAGGAGAGTTCTAGCAGCATACAAAGGACATGAAGGATGCAAACATTGGCACATTGAGCATTCTAAATGGTAAAAAGGGCAAGAAGATTGAGCATATGTCCCAGAGTAGGGGCACTGATGGCTAATGTGACATCCGACAGAAGATACAATGCACTGAAAGGGCCTGGAGTCATTTGTTGACTCTCCTGCTGCCTGAAATTCAATGCATTCTAGCTAAATGTTGAAGGCATCTTAAGACTGTAGACAGAATGGATACACACTATTGCCTCTATGCTGCTAATGTCTCAGACATGCACCAGTGAAGATGACTTCAATATTTTCCAGCTTAATAAACAGAGAGCAGAAGAGAAGGAATTTAGTAAGAGATTTTAAGATTAACACCATGGAGAATAGGAGTTCTTCGGCCACAGTTCTATAACGGAGCTACCATTGGGTTAAATGCAGATAATTTTGTCAGACCTTTACATTGCCAGAGTTTTGGAATAAGGCAGCCAAATAAGTGGTCAAGTCAAACAAGGCATGTATTCATCTTCCAGCTGTACCTTAGCATTCATTAAAAAAATTGCCTCTTGGCACCTTCACTTGTCCAGTGCTGTTCTTTCTTTCTTTCTTTCTTTCTTTCTTTCTTTCTTTCTTTCTTTCTTTCTTTCTTTCTTTCTTTCTTTCTTTCTTTCTTTCTTTTTTCTTTCATTCCTCCTTCCTTATTTCTTTCCTTCTTTCCATTTTTACTTCCTTCTTCCTTTCTTTCCTTCTATTAGTTTTCTTACCTTCTTTTTTCCTTTTTTTCTTTCTTTCTTTCCTTCTTTTTTCCTTCGTTCCTTCACTCCTTCCTTCATTTCTTCCTTATTTCCTTTGCATTTTTCCTTCCTTCCTTCCTTCCTTCCTTCCTTCAGATTTATACCTTGCCCCTCTAGACCATGTCTACTCGGGGCAGCTTACAAAATAAAACAGATCAATATAAAAATATATAATCATAAAATACAATTGCAGTATTAAGACAATTAATTTAAGGAAGGATTACCAAGATGGGATAACATAAGAGAAAATAAAAGAGCCTTAGTTGACTGGAGGGAAGGCCTGCTTAAATAACCAAGTTTTTAACTAGCTTTTAAAAACACCCAGTGAGGGTGCCAGCCGAATTTCTGTTGGAAGGGTGTTTCACAGCCGAGGGGCCACCGCCGAGAAAGCCCGGTTTCTAGTTTTTTCCTTCCGGGCCTCTCTCGGCGTCAGACCCCTCAGCCATCCCTGCTGGCTATGACGGGTAATTCGGGTAGATCTGGGTGGGAGAAGACTATATGCCAAATATTGAGGTCCCAAACCATTTAGGGCTTTATAAGTAATCATTAGCACTTTGAAGCCAACGCGGAAACGGATGGGCAACCAGTGCACAGCGAGAGGTAAAAACAAACAAAATAAAAGAGAAAAGGAAGGGGGGGAGGGAAAGAAGAAAACAGACCGAAGCTGGAGAGAATGCTCCCGTTCTATATGCATTGTCTCTGATGTATATTTGGTATCACCTGGCAGGACAAAGTTCCAAATAGAGTAGTACTAGAATGAGCTGGAATTTTTAGCATGTATACATTACTGGAGAAAAGGAAGGGGGGGAGGGAAAGAAGAAAACAGACCGAAGCTGGAGAGAATGCTCCCGTTCTATATGCATTGTCTCTGATGCATATTTGGTATCACCTGGCAGGACAAAGTTCCAAATAGAGTAGTACTAGAATGAGCTGGAATTTTTAGCATGTATACATTACTGAAACAGCGATGTCTACGTTGCTTGGGCATGTTCTGGGAATGGCTGATGGTCGGATTCCAAAAGTTCTCCTGTATGGAGAATTACTGCAGGGAAATCGCCATAGAGGGAGACCACAGCTGTGATACAAGGACATCTGCAAGCGGGATCTGAAGGCCTTAGGAATGGACCTCAACAGATGGGAAACCTTGACATCTGAGCGTTTAGCCTGGAGGCAGGCGGTGCATCACGGCCTCTCCCAATTTGAAGAGACCCTTGTCCAATAAGCCAAGGCAAAGAGAAAGTCACAAAAGCAGCAAAATCAGGGAGCTGGACAGGGGACAGATTGTATTTCTCTTCAGTGTGGAAGGGATTGCCACTCTCGAATTGGCCTCCTCAGCCACACCAGACGCTGTTCCATGTCCTCTATACAGAGCACATTACCATAGTCTTCCGAGACTGAAGGACGCCTAACTAACAGATAATCTTGATGTACGAAAAGATTATTTCTGAATGGAATAAAGTTAAAGTCTTATATAAAATTGTCCATTCTAAATAGAAGGTAAATAAAAGAATTAGGTTTTAAGGAGAAAAGCCATAAGTAAAGACAAAGACCCTAAAACGTTGTTGAGATAAGTCACCTCAGAAGGAGATATGTCAGAGTGTGGATTTTAAAGCCACTTTATGCTTACAGCATCAGCACTCTTTAGTGTTAAGGGAACATGTTAAGATACTTGGCAACAGTTTTGTTTGGAATCCTTGGTTGCAATAAAGCTGCCTTCATCCACGTGTGAATTTTTTTCCTACAGGCACTGGGGTCTTCTTACATGGTGGTGGATTGTGCCCCCACTCACCCCAGATGCAGCTGTGAAACTTTTCCCAAAGTATCCTTTGTAAGAAAGCATAGCTACTTTTAGAAGCCAGGCACCATTGAGGGAAGTTTGTGGATCTGGGCCCTGTTCTGAATTCCCTTCGCCATTTGTGATCTTTTGACATAATGCATACTCTTATTTAATCGCTTCTTTCTGTAGGTTTCTAGTCTATCTTAAATCAGTCCACTTGAGGGGTTAATGGGGAGGGATCATTGTTTTGAATGAAGTAACTCAAGCATATCCTTAAGTATGGGAGGGCAAGGCCTTTTTAATTAAATCAAAGTTACCTTTGCCACACAAGTCTGGCACTTAGGTGTACCTAACTCTGCTACGGACTGTGGCTGCTGTCTCTGCACTTTCTAATTTTATGCCAGTATTGTGAAGATTAATCTTGGAAGTAAACAGCATAATTATTTGAATAAATGTTCCTATTTGCTTGAAAGTGAATTGCATTTAGACCAGTGGGTGAATATGCTTAGAATTAGATGCTCATGTGTACTCTTACTTAAGTGATACATCCTCTCTTTTTTTCCCTCAATAGGGTGACTTGGGGGCTATAGATGAAAAGTATGATGTTGCAATTTCATCATCGTGTGGAGCATTAGATCACATAGTTGTGGATACAATAGATACGGCTCAAGAATGTGTTAAATTCTTAAAAATTCAAAACATTGGAGTGGCAACTTTTATAGGGCTTGACAAGGTTTGTATTTGTTGTTATGGATCTTGAAGTTGAACAAATGTTGACATATGGAGATGCCTACAGTTATATTCCAATCACAGTTCTCTCCAATACTTTCTAGTTTCAACACGCACATACAGTAAATTAGTTTTACATGCAGTACAAAGATTTATTGGACCCACGGTATCTTGAAGAATCTTGATACAAACTGAGTGTGTAGTGAAATAAGTGCAAATTGGTAAAAGAAATTCGCTTATTTGTAATTTTTTTCAAGTGGGACATTCCTATTAAGCTGTTGAGATACGTTGGATCTCCTCCATTAATTACAATGGTACCCAGTATACATGTTAGGTATTTTCTTTCTTTTGTATTTTTTCCTCCAGGGCTTCTTGATAATCTAATTGATTGGTTATTTGTTTCCTTACAATTAATTATCACATTAAACTGTATACATTGTGGGTCTGATGGCAATTTTAATTGTATCTTAATTGTATTTTAATTATTTTATCTTTTACTGTATTGAATTTTAATTATTGTAAGCCGCCCAGAGACCTCTGGGTAGTGTGGGCGGCATATAAATTGAATAAATAAATAAATTGTGTGGATCATAGCAAATTCACAACAGAAAGAAGACAACAACTGCTGAAGTTGACGTTTTTAAAAGGTTTTTAAAATGACAGTACCATTGACCTATGAGAAAGGGCATGTCCGGTTTGTTAAGGCCCTTTAGAGGTAGTTATTCGTGTCTTCGCTATACAGCCAGACAGTAAGAAAAAAGTGTGGATGTTGTGCTATGCCCTAGAAGAAGTGATCTGATAAATTACTGCAGATTTTTAATTTAATGGAACTTTGCAACTATTAGATGTAGTTTATGTCGTCTCAGTGAGGAAACTAACCTCATTGAAGGATGTGGTATAAAAAAAGATTATTTTTGCTGTTCAGATATCCAGTTGTTTCAAAAATTATGTTGTATATAATTTTTTAACTGATGGGTCTAATTGTGGAAATTCCAGTGCATTCAATTCGCTTTTGTGCAGGACTTAAAATTTGTTGTGCAGTGGTGGTGGTGGTGTGTGTGTGTGTGTGTTCCCCCTCCCTACAATGACATCAGATCATATATTTACTCCTAGGTGGGATTCTCAAAGGGATCCATTTAACTATAGTAGCAGTTTGATACAGTAAAAATAAAAAGGGTTTCTTAAAGGTTTAGATATGAGTATTATTTGCAGATAAAATGCTGCTGTAAAAGATAACTTTCTCTAGACATTAGATATCCACCATGTTGCTGATTACTTTTTTTCTGTACAAGTTTTAAAATCAGTTAATAACAGTGTGTATTATATGGAAGGAAATATTGAAATAGTAATCTGAACAGGTTTTCTAGGAGTTTCTGTATTATCTGCTGCATTGCATGTACACAGATCAGGAAGATATAGATTTAGTTGTCCAGTGCTATGCACAGAAAGAAATTTGTTCTGTCTTATTTATGGAAAAACTCTAGGGACAGTATTATATACATATTACTAGGCATGCGGCTGGGCCTCACCAAGCCACAGCTGCTTCTGTGATACACTTTGTACAATAGTACATACATTTGAGTAGGATACTGGACTTTGTTTTCATGTGGCTTTCAAAGTCCTTGTTCCTGTTGCTTTGTATTTATCCATTTTCTACTGTATTATGTACTAATTCATAATAACTCATCCATGGCTATTACACTCATCCATGCTTGTTACAAAGATCTTCCATATTTGCATACAGTGGAGTCTCAACTTACGAACGCTCCACTTACGAACTTTCCGACCTACGGACTTCTCCAGCCGCAAAATTTTACTTCGACTCGCGGCCGGAGAATCGACCTATGGACCAGAAGGGGGAGGCAGGGAAAGCGCCC